ATTCATTAATCATAAGCAGAAATGTTTACAATACAGATCGTTAGAATGACAATGCATTCTTTACAGTCAGACATAGAAACAAATTCCTAGCAATGTTATAGAAAACTTGGATCGCATACTGTTTTACAAACTTGAAGCCAAAGTTGTTGGATGAACTCAATGCTTCTTCACAGATCTGATCAAACATAGTCAAGCATGACTCTGGTGAGACCATTTTATCATTCCATGCTTATGAGGAGGACTCGCCAAAGAAACGAGAGGAAAACTCGCCAAAAAAACAAGAGGGAAACACTCGCCAGAGAGACGAGAGAAAACAAACTAGTCAAAGGAATAAAGAGATAATGTAGAACCAAAAGAAAACAACATAAATGGAAAAGAGGGTAGAATACCTGTCAGATCTGTAGAGTCTCTGAAGCCTTCTCTGGAAAACAATCGGAGATGATATGATAACAATTAATCCTAAAACAGCCGAAGGATAAAATCTATTAATGGCACCGCCGGCTCAACCCTCCATCCTCAGCCGGCAGCATCAAGTCGCTGGGTCTTTACTTCGTGGGACCAGTCGAAAATGGGAGAAAAAGCGGTTGAGTTTTTGGGAGAGAAAGCGGTTTTTTTTTTTTTTTTTTTTTTATACTATTCATTCACCTTACAAGTGTTGGGTAGAATAATGCCTCTTTATAGTTAGGGTTTTGGAGGGATAAAAATGTGAATATAAAATTTTAGGGTAGAAGGCATGGGTTAGGAATTTGAGATTAGAGAAATTGACTAATGAAATATTGTTGGGTTTATTTTGAAGTCAAGTTTGAGTCAAAACTAACTTATCAATTTCTCAGTTTCCTCTCAGATTGATTTTTTGGGTCAAAACTTGATACATAAGTATACTTTCTAATAAGGGTTTTAAAAATAAGAATATTTTTGGGTCTTATTTCTAACAAAAAATTTTGGATTAAAAATAATTAATTTAACTTATTATTAAAGCATTGTAGGAATACAATTTTAAAATATAGGGTTTTTATTCTACTAAAATTTTGAAAATAATATATTTTGGGTAAAAAAAATTTTGGGGTACGTGTTACATGTTCGAGTTCAGCGAACTCGACGCATCGAGAAGTGTAGCCGAGACGCATCAGTTTTCGACGCCGAACTCGACACGTTGACCGTGCCTCTCGACGCGTCGAGATCGGACAGAATGTTTGGCCATCAGCTTAATACCACTCGACGCGTCGAACCATTTCTTCGACGCGTTGACTTTGTCCAGTAGCCTCTCGAGTGACAAAGGCCATAACTCGACGAGTTGAGTTGCCGAGCTTGTGTTTCGGCAATTTCCAAACCCCGCGCTGAAACTTCCAAACTTGCACCTACTTGATTCCCACTATAAAATGATGCCTTCCCTGAACCCTAAATCATCATGCTCAGTTTTAGAGACAAGAAAGAAGAGACTTGAGTGCTACAAGTTGTCTTGAGATGCAAGAAGAAAGCAAAAGAGATTTGGGAGAATCACTTGGTTTAATTCTTGTACTCTTTTAGATTATTTGTAAACTCTTAATAATTGCTATGTATTGCGTATTAGCCATGTGTGGCTAATTTACTTTAGAGATTATTGGGAACAAGTATTTATGAACTTATGTGCCTAGTTCTTTAATGCTTTAATATATTTATATTTGGGTTTTATAGTTGTGTTGCAATTGTGTTTTACGTTGTTGTTGCAAGTAGTTTAGGGTCCAAATTACTTGCTTCATAGCTATCTTTATGTCATCACGGGAGTTAGGCATATTTTAGGGCACACACACTTGCACTTAACTGATGCACCTTGGGAGATAGCAAATTGGTTGAGGAGTTTAATTCTTGATTATTGCACATCGGGAGATGGTAGTAGTTATGGATTTATTATGAATGCTTGCTCTTTTGTTGTTGTGTGTTTATACCACATGAGTGAATATTCACCTAGGTTAGAGATTACGAGAGTAACTTTTTCCCCGTTGCATTCTCACATTTGTTTGAACCCAGATTCGATATTGTTCTAAGTTTGACACTAGGTGATTAAATACTTGAGTCCTAGGAATCTCATTCTTTCTTTATGGTTTTCACAAACATGTTACTTTGTTTTCTTTTAATTATTTTAATCAACTACCCATGATATTCATTAGGATTAGCTTCACAAGAATAGATTAGTAGCTAGTGCTTAATACGCCTTACTTCCTTGAGGATCAATAACTCGATACTTCGGGTATTATTTGCTTGAGAAATATACTGCAAACATTTAACAACCTTTGTGACTAAAATTTCTTAGCACATATAATTTGATTTAGTACGTCTTTTTAGTCAATATAATTATTCCTTCTCCTTTTACCTTTTCACATTAACCCACATTAACTTAAAAGTCATGATATTCCCATATTTATTGTGTCGTGTGAATTGAAGTTTAACAACCTTTGTGACTAAAATTTCTTAGCACATATAATTTGATTTAGTACGTATTTTTAGTCAATATAATTATTCCTTCTCCTTTTACCTTTTCACATTAACCCACATTAACTGAAAAGTCATGTTATTCTCATATTTATTGTGTCGTGTGAATTGAAGTTTTAACAACCTTTGTGACTAAAATTTCTTAGCACATATAATTTGATTTAGTATTTTTAGTCAATATATATAATTATTCCTTCTTTCTTTTACCTTTTCACATTAACCCACATTAACTGTAAAGTCACGTTATTTCCATATTGATTGTGGCATGTGAATTGAAATTTAACAACCTCCATGACTAAAATTCTCATGCACACATAAGTTCACTCGTTATTTTCAATCAATATAATTATGAGTCACACTTGTGTGAGACCGTGAGATAAGTCAAACCGGGCGGAGTCAATATACTTATGTAATACTTATATTAGCAAATGTAATACTAAATCATTAGGAATAAAATATTTATTTGTTACTTATAAGGAAAAACGTAATAATTTTGAGAACAAATAATGTAATACTTTACCACAAGAAAAATTATCACTTGTGAGAATTGAACCTATGTTATTTCTAGTATCATTCCATAAAATAAAAAAAAATTAAAAAAAAATTCTTTATCACTTGAGCTACGTTTTGAGTTAGTTCTAATCAATATAATTATTCATTCTTTCTTTCACTTTTTTTCATATTAACATTTCTACGTTGATCCGGATTCACACTATTGCCATGTCGATTGTGGCATGTGAATTAAAGGTTAACAACCATCTCCATGCTAAAATTCCCATGCCCACGTAAATTGAATTGGTATTTTCAATTAATATAACTATTAATTATTTCTTTTACCTTTTTTCACATTAACACAAAGAATATACATTATTGTCATATTAATTGTGGCTACAATCACTAGTACAAAATTTGGAATGGACGCCCACTTTCCGCGACACTTACACAATAAAGGTGTTGTAGAAAAGAAATTATAAAACTTTCCGCGTCACCAATCAGGTAAAGGTGCCTCGAAAATAATATTATTAAAAGAATAATAGGGGAATCTGAGGCACCAACTAGAAACAGGCCGGTGCCGCAGATATTAAATTATTAAAATAATAACATGGGTATCCGCGGCACATTTTGTAGAAGGTGCCGCGGATATTTTATTATTAAAATAATAAAAATGGAATCCGTGGCACCCTTTAAAGACGGTGGCGTGGATTTGATTTTTTTTTTTTTCTTTCTTATCGACCCAAATATGAAAATCACCTACAACGACCACAGCTCCTCCGGCCGTCTGAAAATCGACCCCATCGCGGCTCCAAACACAGCTTCGAACACAGCTCCGTCCGTCCTCCGTCCATCGCGGCTCCTCCTTCTGCTCACTCCACGCCCTCCGTCCACAGCAGCGACCAGCCTCAAATCCCCCAAATCTGAAAATCCCCAACAACGACTTACAGAACCTTTCGTTTAGAATGATAATAGTGATGACATATCATACCATAACATATAGTTGGCGTATGGTTTTACAATTCTAATGAGTAAAATAAATGTTATACATATATAAATTTTTACTTGTATTCCGGTTTTCTGTTCTCTTTTCACATTAACACACATTTCTTTATTATCTTATTAATCATGATCTACAGAATTTAACACTACTCAACAGGGCGTTTGGTTGGAGGGAATTTAAATTCCCTTCCCACTTAATTCCACATAATTCCACATAATTCCAAAAACCATAAAATTCCTTAGTTTGGTTGGAAGAAATTGCAATTTCATAGAATTGCAATTCCCCAATTTTCATGGAATTAAAATCCCATGTCTTCCCTAGGATTTTAATTCCTGAGATTTTAGGAAGAAAAAAAAGTTAGTGATGAAACAAAATTACCCCTCACTTTTTTAATCTAAAATTAATACCATAATAAGTCAATAACAATGGACATTTTGGACTTTATACTACTTATTCCCTTTCAATTCCCATGTATACCAAAACATTGGAATTGAAATTCCTAGTAATTTTCCTAGTAATTCTATTCTTGTAAACCAAACACTGAAATTTAAATTCTCACTTTATTCTCAGTAATTCATCTCCTATGAAATTGCAATTCATTTCCCACGTAATTCCCCCTCCAACCAAACGCCCTATCAAAGTCTCAAATAACTAAAATTTCCAAGTCAGTGAAAAGACTTGATGCAACTATGGTAATTTACTTTCTGTTAACCATATAGTTTTTTCTTTTTTCATGATATGACATTTTTAATTTCTATTCCTTTTATTAATTAATTGCAAGTTTTTGTTCATGAGGAAAAGGGAAAATTCTGTATGGAGTTTCAAACCTAGCTATTTCATTGTTCTATTAAAGTCTTTTTAACCCTTCGCAAAAAGTGGGTTCATAAATAGAAGTCTTTTAACTCTTGCTAGCCTTCCCATTCCTTGAAGCAAAAACCGTATCTATAAATAGCGATGCCAATTTTCATAAAATCTTACACTTACTGCCTCTCAACTTTTCTTTTTTTTACTTCAAATATAAGCAAATGACCATGGGTAGCCAAGTTCTAATCCTTCTCCTCTTTTTATTTTCCTTTGTTTCCTTATCTGCATATGCTTTGTGCCAAAATGATCAACGTCTTGCCCTACTCCATTTCAAACAATCCTTTATTATATATACCACTCCACTAGATTATTGTTTCATGATTTCTTTGAATTCCTATCCAAAAACCATTTCTTGGAATAGTAGCATCGATTGCTGCTTGTGGGATGGAGTTACGTGTGATGAGTCCACAGGCCAAGTGATTGAGCTTGATCTCAGTTGCAGTCGACTTCAAGGAAAAATTGATTCCAATAGCACTCTCTTTCACCTCTCTTCTCTACGAAAGTTAAACCTTGCATGGAATCAATTCGATGGGTCATTCATTTCACATAAATTTGGACACTTTTCTTATCTGACACATCTCAACCTTTCAAGCTCAGGATTGTCAGGTCAAATTCCTTCAGAAATCTTATATCTTCCCAACTTAATTTCTCTTGATCTAGGTGACTCTTTGAACTATTATTCTCGTTTAGAAATTGGAAATCATGATTTCATGTTTCTCCTTCTAAACACAACACAGTTAAGGGAATTAGTTCTTGATGGAATACCCATCCATTCATCTATACCACCTAATGTCTCTTCATCGATAACAACATTGAGTCTTTCTTACACAGAATTACAAGGAAGTTTGCCCCCAAACATCTTTCACCTCCCAAATTTGCAAAAACTTTTTTTACATGGCAACGAAAATCTCTCATTTCACTTTCCAAGCACCAGATGGAATAGTAGTTTGTCTCTCTCATATTTGGATCTCAGCTATACTAGATGTCCTCCAAAGATTATTGAATCTCTTAGGAATCTTAGCAGACTTAAGTTTTTGGGATTAGCAAACTGTGGATTAAGTGGTAAAGTTTCAGAGACTATTTTAGATCTTGAGCAACTCACAGAATTAGACCTTTCTGATAACAATTTGGAAGGTGGCATTGCTGATTTGTTTATAAAGCTCTGGAGGTTGAAAAACTTATTTCTTTCTGATAACAACATCACTGCCCAATTTCCGTCCTCCGTCACAAACATTACTCATCTAGAGGTCTTAGAACTCTCAAGCAATTCACTCTATGGAACAGTACCCTCTTGGCTTTTTAATCATTCTACTCTGTACTTACTTGACCTCAGTTATAATCAACTCCAAGGACCCATTCCAACATCACTTTCAGAAAATAAGAATATGTTCTACCTTGATCTTTCATCCAACAATTTCAGCGGTACTGTAGAGCTCAACATCTTCTCAAACCACAAAAGAATTACACTTTTAGATCTATCTGATAACCGCCTGTCAGTAGTCTCCAATGGAAAAACCAACTCTACAACTAGTTGGTCGGAAAGCCTCATTGTCTTGAGGTTAGTCTCGTGCAATTTGACGAATTTGAATTTTTTAAGAGATTCAAAGTTCCTTGGGCGACTAGATCTTTCCAACAATAAAATACAAGGAAGAATTCCAGAATGGGCTTGGTCAAACTGGCAGGACACATTGAAGTATCTTAATCTATCCCACAACCACCTCACTAGTGTGGAAGGATTTCAACTTCATTCCATTGCTATTATTGATCTCCAATTCAACTTGCTAGAAGGGCCACTTCCTATTCCATCATCTCCCTTCTTAACATATTATTTTGCATCACAAAACAAATTCAGTGGTGAGATGCCTTTGGCTGTATGCAATTCGAGCAATGTTCAAATTCTAGACTTGGCCAACAACAGTTTAAGTGGTGCAATCCCGCAATGTCTTGAAAATTCTAGCAAGGTTTTGGAGGTACTGGACCTGCATAACAATGAATTCAGTGGTTCCATTCCTTCAACTTTTTCCACAGCAAATCAGTTACATACCCTTAATTTGAGAGGAAATAAGTTGGAAGGAAGAATTCCACGATCCTTGGCCAGTTGTATTAATTTGGTAGTTCTTGATCTTGGAAAAAACAATTTGAGCAATATATTCCCCGAGTGGCTGTTAACACTCCCAAAATTACAGGTACTTAGTCTGAGATCTAACCACTTCTATGGCACCATAACCACTTCACCAACTAAACACCTGTCTTCTCAACTAAAGATCATTGATCTCTCTCACAACGAGTTTACTGGGAATTTTCCGATTTGGTTGTTCAAGAGCTTTACTGCTATGAAAAACTCCGATGAAGATAGAAAGCCACCAAGTTACTTTGGGGATCATGGAAACTACTACACAGACTCTTTAGTGTTGGTGTGGAAAGGAAGCCAGCTTAATTTTGAAAAAATTTTGACTGTGTACACCACCATTGATCTCTCAAGTAACAAATTTGAAGGGAAAATTCCTAGTGCCATAGGACAACTTCTTTCCCTCCGAGGTTTGAATTTATCGCACAACATGTTGTGTGGTAGTATCCCCCATTCTTTGGGAAAACTATCCTTGTTGGAATCATTAGACCTTTCCTCAAATCGGCTTGTTGGGGAAATTCCAAAGGAGTTGGCACCTCTTACATTTCTCAGTGTTTTCAAACTCTCTCATAATCATCTTACAGGATGCATACCCAAGGGGAATCAATTCAACACGTTTGATAAGGGTTCTTACGAAGGGAATGATGACCTACGTGGATATCCAATGACAAAAGACTGTGGGAATGGTGTCTCATCTCAACAACCTACTCTAGAAGTGCTCCATCAAGAAGACAATGTGAGCATTTTAGATGGTTGTACCTGGAAAGTTGTGTTGTTGGGCTATGGTTGTGGCGTTGTTTTTGGAATGGTAATGGGGAGTCTCATGCTTTTAACTCGAAAGCCTTATTGGATTACTAAATTTGTTGAAGAAGAAGGATGCAGAATTTTGAGGAAATTGAAGAACAGAAAGAGGTCAAAGACACAAAGGAATGGAAGAAGAAGAAGCTAGGTATGGGCGGTGTCATTAATAAATATTTTTGCTTAAGATCTTTCTTTTTTTTACAACTGATTTTGGGTTACTGTTTTCAGGGCTTTAACTCTACTTTGATGCAAAGGACAGATTGCACTTCAAATTCAACACTAGTAGATAAGATAGTTTAAATAAATTTCACTTTCTCATATGTTCATGTAATGATATATTAGATTATGCTTCACTTCAATTTGCAATAAATGTTCTCTCAATAGTAAAATGTTTTGAAAAATAGCTAATTGTTTAATGCACTTTGGTTTGCAATTAATAACATGTTCAATAAGTTGCTACTTATAACCATTATATTGTAGACTTGGGATTGAAAACTGAAGGACTGCATGTTCAATAGTTGATAATAATAATCACTGATTAAGGTTAATGATTACAACTTACAAGAGTAGTTCAGTTAATGCATGAAATACATTGTAAACCTATAATTTGTATAAATAAACTGAACGTATATAATTTGTCAACTGCAGAATACATAATATATTAATTACAACAAGTACATAATTTGTTAACTAAAGATACATAAATATATGTATATAATCTAGACAAAAACCACAATGTGCATGGTGAATCTTGATTCATGGTAAAACAATTGATGAGTGCATAGTATGTGGCTGGGGGAACCGTTCAATGGAAAGATTAATGCACAAAATAGCAGAAGAGCTGGTTTAGGGAAAGCGCAAATTATTAAACAAACTGAAATTAAGACAAGCTAATAATATTCCTCCCTCTACAGAATGCAACCACAAAGGGAAAAACAAAAATTATAAAAGAAAAATATTAAGAAAATGATCATCCTTCATTCCTTCTACTACAATACACAACAAAAACATGCAAGAAAAAAGAACAAAACCGAGCTTTGCATGAAATGGTACAAGCTAAGCAAGCAGCACTGTCGTCTCGCCATCTTCAATTACTTCATTTAATTGTATCTCGATCCGTAAGATTAGTACATAACAGAATTAAAAAGCTTCAGCTGCCATTTCTACATGCTTTATGTCATCCCACCATATATAGCAAAATTATAACCGTCAATTCAATTCCTAAGCAGCCATTCAATTCGTAGGAGACTCATCTGATGTGCAACGTAACCTTGTAGTTCATAGAAAGTAATCTGGTGTTCTTCGGGTTACGTCTGGCTCACCTCTCCTCGGAGCTGGTTCAAACTGCAATATAATATAATCACCATATATAGTTTCAGACTCAATATTTCATTACACAATCTCATATCCTTTAGATAAAGCTAAGGATGGGGAAGAGAGACCTGAATAAAAGTGTGTCCTTTGTTGCAGTCATCAACTTCCCGTATGGATGCCATATTTCCACATCGGTAACAATAATTAGGAGCACTGAATATGGTAACAACCTTCTGCTCCTGCAAAACCAAATTAAAGTAAATGGATCTCATTCTTCATTCTCCCTAATGAAAATTACATTTAGAAATGGGCATGGAGAAATTTTCCATTTTTCTGAAGGAAAACAGAGAATTCGGAAAAACATAATTTTTTAAATGGAAAATTTAGGGTCCAAAAAAATAATGGAAAAGTGAAGTAAACGCAGCTTTGCTTATAGACTAATTATTACATGAGCCCAGTTATATCCATCCATAACCAGCTGGTGTGCTCTAGCAATAAGCTTCAAGCTGTTAATGTAACGCATATAATACTATGTGAAAGTTCAATCTCTAAGACACTTTCATTTATGCATGAGTTTTGGATTTATCTTGGTATAGTATTAATTTTTACTATATAAATGGAGGAGAAATGTTGGAAATTTATATAGTAATGAAGATTAATATTTCAGATGGACTACCATGAAAGCTTAAAATAATATTTGGAGTTGATGAGATATGAATATTATTTTAGTTTGGTAGAAAGTTAATTGGAGAATGAGTTTGTTGGAAGGTTTTGTCTATTCCCAACATTGGGGGATCATTCCTCAACATTGGGGGGTTATTCCCGACATTGGGGGGTTATTCCCAATATAGGGGAATTGTTTATTTCATTTGAAAAATGATTGCACAGCACATGAACTTCCAATTTTCCCAAACTTGTATGCAAAAGTGTGCTAGAAAATTATAATGATTATATTATTATAATTTGCACAATTATTTGCATGCGGTTCACAACCTTACAAAGGTTCATAATTACATATATATTCATGTTGAACATGATTTATGTAATTAATATTCTCTTATGATAAATATATCATTTAAGATATATTTTATGGAAGATAAGTTTTTAAAACTGCAGAAAATTACCATGTAACTTCTCCAACAGTCATATTTTCATTTATAAATATTTTGGAGAAACATCTGAAGATAACGATGCAATAAACTTGCATTAATCTTGATATTTCACAGTTCTACAATTCTATAGGAAATTCTTAAACAAAGCAACTTAAGAATTTCATTCATCTTCTTGTATCCCATAAGATTAAATCTTGAACCTTGTTGCTTTTATAGAGGGAGATTTAAAGCTTATAGGAAAGTGATTACACGCCTGAAGATATCAAATGATTCAGTTTTTGTTCCATGTTGTTTTCTGTATTTTGTTGTATTTCAAATGTATTACAAATTACAAGCACCTTTTTCCAACAATCTATAAGCTTTAAAATTTATAAACCATTGATCATTGGTCTTGCCTTGAAAGTTTTGAAGGCAAGATGCCAGGCATGGAAGAATAAGTTCTCATCACGGTAATATTTTCGGAATGAGATTCTGAATTTGTTGGTGAGAGGATGACAGAAATCAATTTTGGGTTTGTCATTGTTTATTGTACAAGAAGATTTCCGTGCAGTTTTGCATGGTGTTCATGGCATGCTATGTACATGTTGTACATGTGGTTTGCATACATGCTATGAAGTTTCATTTCCGTTTTCACTCAAAATCATGTACATATCAAATTATGCCAAGATGATTAGTGAGATGTGAAAATGATTTTATATAAATAAATCATTTTATTAGCCATGATTTATTTGGAATGAGAAGAGATGTTCTCCCCACGGTGGGGTGAGTGGTTTGAGTGCATCAAAGGCCGGAAGAGATGGATTATCAAGGCAGATACAAGTTACACGATGAGATCAGTACAGTATCGTTATATATTTGTCTCGGCCTCGTCAGGTACGTAAGTTTTATTTTACTTACTGGTTAAGTTCTGTATCATGTCTTGAAGATATGCATGAGATTCTTTTGAGTTTTGCATAATCTGTTAAATACAAGGATATGTTTATGCATGTGTATAAATATTTTTTATATTGAGACTTTGTCACAGTTGCATGCATAATATACAAGATACATGTATAATATGTTGGATCTTGAGGTGCTATAAATCTGCCAAATTTGAATTAATTTTGTGTTATCAATTTTTTGTTTTCTTTTGCATGGTTACAATGTTTAATGATTGTAAGTTGGAAATAATTTCAATGTCATGCATTGAATTATTGATTATTTAAGCACATGGATAATTTTATCCTTGTGAAATCCTTTGAAATATTATGTTATATATATATTTCTGTTTAAGGGAGAAAGCCTTTGAAAATATTCTGTGAATTTTCTATTAAAGGCAGAAAGCCTTGAAAATATATTGGTATATTTCTGATGAAAGGACATGATACAGAAAGTTTTATGCATGAGGTGATTAGAGATAATTCTTCATTGATTAACTGGAGAATAGGAATACAGAGATATCTAAATAACTATTCTCTAACTGTCCCTGACTAATAGTCTAAACACTCTACACACCACACATCACATAACTATATTACAAAGATATAATAATAATAATAATAATAATAATAATAATAATAATAATAATAATAATAATAATAATAATAATAATAATAATAATAACACACCCCTCAAGCACAAGGTGTGAAAGATACAACATTGAGCTTGTCACATAGCGCACAAAACCGAGGTGTGGATAACGGCTTGGTGAAGATGTCAGCTAGCTGATCAGTAGTCGAAACATAGTTGACAACGAACTCTCCTGAAGCGACCTTGTCTCGTACAAAATGATAGTCAATTTCCACATGTTTTGTCCTGGCGTGAAAGATGGGATTAGCACACAGATAGGTAGCCCCTAGGTTATCACACCACAACGTTGCTGGTCCCCCAGAGTATAACCCAAGCTCCCGTAATAAAGAGACTACCCATGTCACCTCGGCGGAGACGTCAGCCAGAGCTTTGTACTCTGCTTCTGTGGAAGACCGAGCCATAGTCCGTTGCTTCTTTGACTGCTAAGAAATAAGATTAGTACCCAGAAAAACTACAAAACCACTGGTACTCTTCCGATCTATAGGACAGCCAGCCCAGTCGGAGTCTGAGAAAGCGTGAATGCCAGATGAGGATGACGGAGTTAGCCGCAACCCGTAATCAATTGTCCCCTTAATGTAGCGTAGTACCCGCTTTACTAGACCCCAATGTTCTGTTGTGGGGGAGTGCATATGCTGACAGAGATGATTGACAGCGAAAGCGAGATCGGGCCTTGTGATAGCTAAGTACTGTAACGCGCCGACAACACGGCGATACTGCGTAGGATTATCAAACAACTCATCAGACGGTGTTACTAACTTCGTCACAGCTGCAGGCGTGGAAAGCGGTTTACAGTCAACCATACCGGACCGCCCTAGTGGATCTGACATATAACGCCGTTGTGAGAGTATCACATTATCCCCTGATGAAACCATTTCAATGCCCAAAAAGAAACCTGGTGTGCCAAGATCACGAATTTTAAACACTGTAGCTAGCTGTTGTAACAAAGTGCCAACCAATTTGGAGTCATTACCCATCATTATTATATCATCTACATAGACCAAAAGGAACACCCGGGAAGCCCCTGCTGTATAATAAAATAGTGATACATCGGTCTTGGATGATATGAATCCCGTAGATAATAAGAAGTCATGCAACCGTTTAAACCACGCCCTCGGTGCCTGTTTCAAGCCATATAAGGACCGTTGCAGGTGACATACATGCCCTGGAATAGTCGGGTCGTCATACCCTGGAGGCTGTTTCATATACACGGTCTCCTCTAAATGCCCATTCAAAAAGGCATTATGGACATCTAGCTGACGTAGAGTCCACTGATGTGATACAGCTAAAGAGAATAACAGGCGGACCGTGGTCGGTTTAACCACAGGACTGTAAGTGTCAAAGAAGTCCTCACCCGCTACCTGGTTAAACCCTTTGGCTACCAGACGAGCCTTATAGCGCTCAATGGACCTGGTGGTCGTGCGTTTAGTCCGAAACACCCATTTGCAGCCAATGATATTCATATGGGGTTGCGGTGGTACCAAACGCCAAGTGTTATTATGTAGAAGAGCATTAAACTCTTGGTCCATAGCCTCACGCCAATGAGTATGTCCCACTGCTTGGGAATAGCAAGTCGGGTCAGCAACGGCGTTTAAGGCATGAAAAGTCTCACTCGTGCCCCTCGTCATGTGCCGAAGACGCATGACATGGTCCCGACTCTGAGGCTGAGTTCGGGCCTTGCGTGTTCTGACTGGAGCGGTGTGAGTAATAGCCAGCTGTGGGGGCTCCTGTGCAAGCGGTACTGGATTACCGCTAGGGGAGTCAGAACTAGTAGATATAGGCACTATCGTTGCGGTAGGTGGTTGGGCCACAAGTACAACCGCCCATGGTAGTAACGGTGGTGTAATCACTTGTTGTGGACAACCTGTAGCAAAGGGGAAAATAGATTCGTCAAAACGAACATGACGGCAGATGTAGGTCTTTCCACTAGTCAAGTCTACACATCAATATCCCCTAAATGAAACAGGGTAACCTAGGAAGACACAAGGGGTAGTCCTGTACTCAATCTTATGCCGATTGTAAGGGCGTAGATGTGGGTAACAGCGACACCCGAAGACTCTAAGGAAAGTGTATGGGGGGTTGACTTTAAACAATTTTGTGTACGGGCTTTCATAATTTAGAGCAGAAGAGGGTAAGTAATTAATAAGGCAGGTGGCTGTTTCAAAGGCGTAGTCCCAATACTCATGAGGAACTTTGCCTCCGGCGAGTAGAGCAAGGCCTGTTTCGACAATATGTCTATTGCGCCGCTCTACTCTGCCGTTTTGTTCATGCGTATAAGCGCAAGATTGACGGTGATTAATACCGAGAGTTTGGAAAATATTGTAGAGTTTACGGTACTCACCCCCTAGATCAGACTGGATAGATTTGATAGAGCGCGAAAATTGGCGCTCTACCAATACACGAAACACTTCAAAAACTTTATATAAATCTGATTTTACCCGAAGCGGATAAAACCAGCAGAATCCCGAATAATAATCTACAAACAAGCAGAAATAACGAAAACCACTAACTGATATTACTGGAGAAGGACCCCAAATATTAGTAAACACCAAGTCTAATACATTTTGACTAGTTCGTGGTACGCTATCTAATTTAAAACGAGACGATTTTCCAAGATGACACGAATTACAAGACTCAATTTGCTCATTTTTATTTGGTGACACCGGACAGACTTGTAAGACTTTATTTAAAGCTTGCTTGTGTGGGTGACCAAGCCTTTGATGCCATATGGTGGGAGTAGCCCGGGAACTGACGAACGCAAAACTGGACCGAGACACCGAAAGCTTGTATAGCCCGCCCGACGTAGAACCTCTAAGCAGAACCGCCCGAGTTGT